AGGGCTCGATATCTTCTTTCAAATTCCAAAAAGAAAAAAAAATCGAACTCGAACCGAACAATGGCTGAATTTCTTTATTCATTCTGAACGTTTGGAATAAACTTTTTTGTTTACTTATTCTTTAGAACCTTCCTGATGATATGTTAACGTATATTTCAAAAGCATTCTGTTTATTCCGGCTGTGAAATGGGATTATCTGAAATGTATAAAGAAACGCAGCCAATATAAAATATTTTTTATCCGAAATCAAATTCCCAATGAGTAACCACAGCAATCAGCCCTCCATTATCCCACTTATGTAAGTCAAAAGTACACATACACATACATGCATATTTATTTCTATTTTCTCCACTTAGTTCATCTCGTTTTGTTAATTCAATTATGTTGTTTGTTTTGTCATTAATTCTCGCTGTAATTACGCGCCGCCAATAGCCGACGGCGACAACTGCCAATTGCAAACCGTCGCAAACCTGCTTTCTACACTTACATACTAACACACATGCACACAAACACCGCCTTTACAACAAACAGGGTGGCAAGAGACTGGTGGCTGGTGGCTTTTGGCGACGAGGTTAGCGGGCAAACGGACAACGCCTAATGGCGAACGTCTGCACGACGTGAGTGTGTGCAATCTCGAGTGTTCCCTCTGTGTGTGTGTATGTACTTGCGTATATGGCTATGTATGTGAGTTGTGTTAATTCATTTATTGTGGGGCTTGTTTGTTTGCGGTCACTCGACTGCCTCATTTTATTGCGTGAGCGTGCGCTTGCGCGTGTCGAACAGCCTCTATGTTACGTGTGCACTCGTATGTATGTACATACATATGTACATATGTAAATGCCTCGCCACGACTGGCGTGTATGTAAATTTGCGCTGATTAAGCGACAAATGCCGTTGGCGATGTGTAAAAGCGTATGCTTGTATATTGGGTTTAATGCGTGTGTGTGTGCGTGCGCGCTTGTTTTTGTGGTAAATGGGCGCGTTATTAGCGTTTTAAGTGGTTTTAAAAAGATGAGCTCGTTGGTCAATTAAATAAAAAGCCCATGCCTGTCTTCAGCGCAACGGCA